GAGTGCCTTGAACCTGTGGCAAATAGTTGAAATGACTTGCTGTGTGCCTGTAATAAGAGTTAGGTTGAGTTGCAACTGAAAGAAAACTTTAAAAATTAAAGTATCAAATCCCCTTATATGATGTCAGCTGAGTTACATACGAACACTACAATGTAAGAATCAGGAGACACTAAGTGTTATTGTTAGAAAGTATAAAGGGACTTAAAGAAAAATCAGTACCCAAAAGACCTGTGAAGACAGATTTTCTATTTTTACTCTTGATTATTTGTAGAAAAGAAAAAACTAAAGATATTCCATCTTACCTTAGGTTTAAGTATATGGCTTCAAGCTGTATAAGTTGGAATATCTTTGCTTATTTTCACTATGCCCTTCCTGAACAATGGCTTAAATAAATGTTAGAGTCACTGCTGCTGATAATTTTATCCAAACTACAATGTCAGTTACTCTGTGTGCATGCCGAGACCTTGGAGTACAGACTGCAGTCCTTCAACATGTTATTTTAGTACCTAAGCTGCTTTGGAAACCATCCAAACTAAATGGTTACTATATCTGCTCCACAGTTCCAACACAGTGGCATGAAATGTGGTGAGGACTACAGATTCTTATTCCTCTCTATGGATGATGTTATACACAGCATGAAGTACACTTCCAGACATAACACAACTTTCTGTCCAAATGCCCTCATTTTGGTTGCTGGTAATTGTGTCAGACTGGAGAAATCAATGGTGTAGTGGTGGGGACCTACATAGCAATTTACAAGTTTAATGAGAGAGGCACTAATGGTGAGGAAGTCCACACTGCTGCAATCTCCCTTTGTCACTTCTTTTTAAGCCTGCCGCTCTTCATGAGACCCCCACCCAATCTTCTCATCCAGGCCATCCAGGTCCCGCCAGCCTGATGTTTCTTTATCACGTATCCATCACAATAGCTTCCTCGTGTCCTGCCTTCATGACCCTGATGATGTTCCTTGATAATTTCTCCCTTCTCACTTCTTCTCATTTTCTCCTCAATTTCTCACTCTTGTGAAATATGACTTCTTTACTGAGCATTCCACTGATGCTGCTTCTGAGGAATGCACCAATGACCTTCTAACTATAAAGCATTATGAACACTTTTCTGTTCTTAGCTAAATTAAGTTTCTTTATAGCACACGGATAACTCCCTTCTTTGTGAGATTATATCCACCCTGACATAAATTTCCCCTGATTCTCCTCCTGCACCACTGTTCACAGATAGTCAAATCAAAAGAGAACATCAAATAAATAAGCTCGGCTTGTTGCTAGCGGCCACGGCTCTGGATGATATTACTCATCCGAAATAGGTCATTATCCATGGATGGCACTGAAGTGCTGATGTGTGAGGATGCAGTGGCTCAAGACTGCTTGTATCACTACGATTCTACTGAGCATAATTGATGATATAATTGCATGACAGAAGAACATTTAAAAATATGTGTATGTGGAATTAATAGTGTTCTTTAATAGCTACAAAAAAGTCTCTAACTACTTGTCGTAATCCCACAATGGGATCTTGTATACACTATGCCCTCAGTACTCTTCTAATAAAATCAATTTGGTTCTTTTGAAGTTATTTATACAATATCAAATAACTTGTGTAATAGTTGGTTACTAAGTATCAGTTTTGCTAGACAGATAATTCTTTGTGGAATCAAAATCATCTTGTCATACCTCAGGGAATCTTGGATATAGAAAGTTTTCAATAAGTTAGATGGTATAAAATGTCAGAAAGCATTTTTAAAGAAGACTTAAAAGATACCTTGCAGTACTTCCCATTAGTTGTGTAATATTCACCTAAAACTACAGTATCCATTTTCTGGCCCACAATATTGCATTACATATTGTCTAACAACTAGGAGATACAAATCATAGCCTGATGTAAAATTAGTATAACTTGACTTGTGATTTTCCAGTTTATATAACAGTTAAGTTACATAATCATAGATTCAACAGCAGTATTTTCTGTGATTTACGATGTATTCCCAACTATCTTAGCAAATAAGTAAGACGCACAGATCTGAGTAGCAATAAAAAGGAAAGCATATTAAAATCAAACACAATTTACTACAGAATTCAAGTTCTCAGCCAAGTTCTGATACTGCAATTGCGTGTCATTTGCACTGCATTGAAAAGATGCCATCTATTTCTGATTATGATTAATGGTTCTTTTTAGGCAGCCAACTTTCTTTTCTGTGTAACAAAGGCTTCTGTCTTAAGGTTTTTGTCTTATATCAGTTATAATGTTATTTGTAAATCTGAAATAGCAGAAAACAAAATGTGAAATTTGTAATTTTATTAGTGTAAAAGTTCTATAGGCAGGAAAATAACAACCTGGATGCCTAATACTCACATGAAGCCTGTAAACCACATGATGGGGTCGGTGGGGTGGGGGTTGGTGGAGCATTGACTAAAGCACTGGGCCAAGCTGGGAATGCTCCCAGGCAGCAGGAAGCTACTTTGATGTGTGGCCAATGTTTACTGTTTTTACAACATGCAAAAAAAAAAAAATCAAACAAACAGTCTTTTTTGGTATGAGAATAAGTAAAAGTAGAAAAGAATAGTAAAATGCCAATTGGCATTTTAAAAGAATATGTTAATAGGTGTCAAAATGAACACAAGGAGCATTGCCTCACTTACTACCAGAGAGCAAGTCCCAGTATCAAACAGAATAAATGAGGCAGGAGCATGCACAGTGAGACAGGACTCAGCACCGTCTCACACTCACAGCAAACAGGGAGCAAGGGAAAGAGTGCCAGTTTGGGGTGGGGAGGAGGGGATAATCTAGGCAAGATTTGAAAAGATAATTACAGGCATGCACAACAAAAGGAAAGACTAAGTGGAGCAATAGATACACCAAAATTATTATATAGTAATTAACATGCCCTCTTTACTTCTCTTTGGGGAATTTTTTTTTCATTTAGATAAAAATGAATCCTGACTGCCACAATATTTCATTTGGCAGGATATCAGGTAATTTATATTTCAAATATGATCTCATCATCATATCCATCTGTTGATATTAACAGAACATTTGTAGTGTTTGAAACTCCAACTTATAAAAGACATATCTATAAATCAGAATCTTTGAATCTAAGACTCACACACCAATGAAAAGTGATAAGTGTGCCCTTATATGTGTTTTATAGTCATTTTCAGTCTTCACTCGTTTTTAAAGATTATTTGTTTTAGAGAGAGAGAGGGTGAGGGAAGTAGAAAGAGAGGGAGAAAAACATCAGTGTGTAGTTGCCTCTTGCATGACCCTTCCTGGGGACCTAGTCAGCAACCCAGGCATGTGCCCTGACTGGGAATCAAACCAGTGAACCTTTGGTTTATAGGCTAGCACTCAATCCACTGAGCCATCCAGCCAGGTAGTCTTCACTTTTAATCCACCCATCTCTCCACTCTAACTCCAGGGACCAAAACAGGGAGAAACTGTAGGCAGCTGCCACAGAATGAGCTCAAATAAGTGTTAGACCTTTAAAAAGGCTAGCATATTTTGTATGCCAAGCCACAGTGCAGGGAGGTGGGGAGTGCTGGTTAACAGGCTCTGATCTTAACCAATCCTTGTTGAAGGGCTCTTTGTAGATTCAAATAATATTTCCATTTTCTTTCACATTTCATTTTAAAACTGAAAGCTGGAAAAAGTGAGAGGCCAAGACAATGTTGGTATGAAGAAATACTCTAAGTGCTGGACTCACAAGTTTGCCCCGTTGTCCTTAACCCATACACTAAGACCTGTGACTTCCCTTCCATATTCAGAGAGATCTGGACCAAGTACAAGGTAGAGGCTATCCAATCCTCCCTGGAAGCCTGTCTCCAGCTAACACACCTCCTTCCTCAGCATTCTTGGATGTGCCTTCTCAACCTTCAAAACGCAGTTCAAATTTTTTCTCCTCCATGGTGTATTTCCTTGTCTCATCCAGACAGAATTAACCAAATTTTCCCTTGGATCAACACTTTACCTTGAGCATAGATATCACTGTGCTTTTTAAACTGATGTACAGCTATACCTTTTAATGTCTATTTACTCTACTAGATTGGGTTTGAGTACTCAGTGCCTCACCTAATGTGTCATTTAATTTATCCCCATTCAACATTACTCCCATGCCATAAGAGGAGGAAGAGTTAAATAATGCCTTCCCCATTTACAGCAGTGGGTCCTCCCGAAATACTGTTGCACTGTTGTAACTGAAAACATAGGTTCAGCTGCCTGCAGCAAGGAAATCAAACTTGTGAGACAGGTGCTGGTGCAAAAGGAAAGTGCAGTGCCCTGGGAGAATGGTGGGCTCCTGTTTCAAAGACCACCCCCGTCCTGCTCAAGCTCAGGGATAGGAAGGGGAGAGCTTGGTTCTCTCTCCAATCATTTTTCTAGCTGTCAGCACCCTGGGGCCCTGTCCATCCATCTTTTTAGTTCTTAGTACACTCAGTGTAAGAACCACCCCCTGTGCCATCTTGGCCAGTGCGGGGGACTTCCTGGTGCTCTTACTGTCAACGTAACACTGTTCCTTTTAAACTTATATTCTGCAGTTGAACTAAAAAATTCTCCTGCTACCTTGCCCAAAGGAAGCATCAAAACATATGTTCAAAATGAATTCTATCTAGTATGTAAAATCACCAGAAAATACGTACAAAATTGTTATTGACCGCTGATGGTACTGTATTTGGTTTTTGGTTAATATTATCAAACAATGTGTCTAAAGCAATGTAATATTCCTCAGTAGAGGGAGATTTTGAGAGCTTATTTAAAATAGGATGTTGCTACTTCATTTAATCGATATTCTAAAAGGTGTTGTTGCCCTGAGTAAAACAAACCAAAACAAAACAAATGATTTGCAAATAACCACTCTGATTTTTATATTTCTAAACATCTATTGTATATTTTGAAACATAAAAATGTTGAGACAGAATCAGTGTCTGCACACATTATTAAAGGGAAGTAAAAGGATGTTTTTAGTAACCAGTATGAATTTTTTTACCCACTAGGATATTCAATACTTCAAGCTATTATGGAGAAAGCAGGACAAAATGGTTGGCATGTCAGCGCTATATGTGTGGAAAATTTTAATGATGTCAGCTATAGACAACTTCTAGAAGAACTTGATAGAAGACAAGAGAAGAAATTTGTAATAGACTGTGAGATAGAGAGGCTTCAAAACATATTAGAACAGGTAAGTCCTGGATTTTATGTTATTATTAACCTAGACCCTGTCAGCATCTTCTTCCAACCATTTAGTTTGAAGTGTGTAGTTAGAAAGTTTTCACTCTATGGTTTGTCTCCAACACTAATTTATAATCTTCTATCACCAAACACCATTTGGGTTCTTAAGTCTCAATGCAGGGAAGACCACAATTTCTCAGACATTTTAAAACACACAACACAAACAACATTTTGTGAACCATCAAGACCTCTTGGCCCCGAGTCATCATAAACATTAATTTTGAAGATTAATACCGTCTAAAATATTTGAAAACTGTAATATTTGTGACTGTGTGCTTTTTCTAACCTTTAGAGTAATCGCTACGTGAAAATAAGAACATGAATTAGTAAAGCAATGAAATAAAATGAAATTAAGTGGCATACTGTGCATAGCAGATTTTCTTCTAGATGTTGTGTGTAAACACCTTACCACCACAGGAAAGGTGGTTTTCAACTCACCACACAAAAGAAGATACTTTGAATAAAGCTTTCAATAAATATTTGTTGATTTGCTTGGTAGGAAATTAAAAAATAGAGCTCTGTCATTGTGTTGAGTGATGGGAAAGTATCATCAAATAATGGATAGCGTTTGCCTTCCCTGTAACCTGCGCATCATGATCACGCTTTGAAAGCTTGTATTTGGCCAAATTCACAGTGAATCATCGCCATCTAGTGGTTTTAGAAATGTTTGTTCATTTTATCTATAATAGGTTAGCTAGACAATCAATATCATAACATGATGGGGGGTTTTTTGTTAGTTTGCTTCATATATGTTATCTACAAAATCATATAATTTCATTTGTAGTAGTAAATTTACTCATTAGCAGGTTTGTTTATAAAAATAAATACACAACTATTCCAAATCAACATGTTTCAGATCCTTCTCATTATAGAAGGGCACTAAACCAGAGGCTGTAAGTTTCCTTCCTCAGCTATATTAGATTTTGTAAACATTAAAAGTGAAAAGGAATGTGGTATTTCTTTTAGAGAGTTGGTGAGGCCAGAGCATGCTGTAAGAGGAAATGTCAGTGTATTCACCTTCTGTTAGCCTTTACAGCAGGGAAAAAGCCCGCTTGATTGAAGAAATATGTTAGTATTATATTGGAAAATATTAATTATAAACATCTACAATACTCAGGTTTATTCCTGAGAGAGTCCCAAATTATTAAGGTTGTAATGATTCAGGGTATATGAAATTTTAAAATGTGTATTTGTGGAACCCAGGGGAAAACTCTCTTACTACAAGACGGTCACTTCAGCTCCAACTCTCATTCTTCCTCTCTCCCACTCTTGCCTGTGTCGAGAGTTTGAGTTGTTTGACCTGGACAACTGAAGCTTTGTAAATAATTCCTCATGAATCCCAGACTGCTGTCAATTCTAAGAACTGCCTGGATTGCCAAGTTCCTGTCAGAGCTTGAGTGAGGCTCAGAAAGGCCCTCCACTTAGCACCTGTGCTTAAAAGATTGTGTCTGAAGGAAGCAATTGAGTGCCGAAAGCACACTGACCCATTTCGGAGGCTTAGCTGTTTTCTAAGAAGAAAGTCGGCACACCCGAGTGATTTGGATTAACTCTTTAAATAAACCTTAAATAAGCTCTTGCTAAGGGAACTGTACATTTTAATTTCACTGTCATTTCAAAAAAATATTTTTGCCAGCCTTATTAAGATATGAATTATGTATAACATTGGGTAAGTTTAAGGTGTACAACAGGACGATGTAATACCCTAATAAATGGTGAAGTGATTACCATGGTAAAATTGGTTAATAGGTTCACCACTTCACATAATTATCATTTCTTTGGGTGGATGAAGACATTTAAGGTCCATTTTCTTAGTATCTTTCAAGGATATAATACAATATTGTCAACTGTAATCACCATGCTGTGCATTACATCCCCAAAACTTAGAAAACTTGAATGTCCACCTTTTCTATTTCTATTTCTATATCTATTATTCTTGCTGAATCTGAAAGGTTTCCATCATGACTGCATAGTAATAATGAGACTAATAATAGACCTTTTTCCCTTTAAAATACCTCTCATGTATAAATCTCATAAATTATAACAAAGTCTACTGTATTGTGAGACTATAATGTACTCTTAATTGTCCTATAAAATTTCTCTGTAAGGCTTATTTCTGATTCTGAAATGATTTTTTTACTTTCAACATTTTAATTCATTGTACCTCTAAGCAAAATCACTTTTATTGTTTCGAGTTTTACCCTTGACTCATCTAAATACAAGAGATAATCCAGAATTTTGTCAGGAATCTGTAAATGCATTTCATTACCTCTGTGATAGGACATCTTAAGTAAATGGGGATAACAAAAGAAAACAATTTTAAAGAATCGATCCATTTTTTAAAAAGTGAAATACTAAGGAATTTTAATCAGAAAAATATATCCCTCTCTCAGAAGCTGGTGAAATTATTACAATAAAGATCAGGGGAAATTTCCAGAAGAATGGATGCCCTTCATATTATGGTAGCATGCTGTTAATAAATCCTTTTTTTGATGGTTTAATTTGTATCAATTTTTAACATATAATGTAAATAGCTTACACAATTTTCTCTCAAAATTAATAGTGGACAACTGTAGTTAGACAAACACTGAAATCTTCAGTATATGTTTTCCAAATTATTTTTATTCAATGAACTAATCAGTTCTTTTTTAAATTTGATCTTAATTGTATTTTTTCCATTACCACCCCCAGCAAACACCACGCTGTTGTCCATGTCCATGAGTTCTTTTCCTCTTTGCTCAGTCCCTCCACACCTCTGTAGCTGTCATTCTGCTCTCCATCTATGAGTCTGTCCCCATTTTCCTTGTTATTTCAGTTTGTTCATTATATTCCACAAATGAGTGAAGTCATAAGGTATTTGTCTTTCTCAGACTAGCTTATTTCACTTAGCATAGTGTCCTCCAGGTCCATCCATGCTGTTGCAAAGGCTTATAAATGCATTGCCATTGAAAATAGCAGTCAGCCACATTCTCATTCAAACATTCCAAAAAAATGAGCCTCAAAGCAGGTATTTGAACTTGTAGTTTAAGGAAAAATGGAGGAATTTATGTAAATATCTCTCACTGAGATATTTAAGAGGACTAAATAATAATGCAAAAAATACAATAAAATTAAATTAAAAATAAAGCATTAGAAAATAAAAAACTACATTAGATTTTTGCCATTTTGTTTGCATCAGGCTCCATTAAAACCAACTTTATGTTTGGCTATCTGAATCTAATGGGCATTTTGGTCTACTCATCAGCAAGGAACAAAACTTTGAAAAGCAACTTACAACTAAAAACATTTTTGAGTATTTGTTGAATTGTTGATCAATTATTGAAAGAAAAAATCTTGATTTCTACTAAAATTGATATAATCTTTTTGGACAATGGCATTGTTCATCTCACCTTGTTTTCTTGCTATGAAAATACATCAATTATTTTATAGAATAGCTCATAATAGCTTAATATAACTTGAAGCAAATCAATTGTTTTCATATCAAAATAAGTGGCATATTGTAGGAGACTGTCAAACATTATCTTCACATATCTATTAGTTTTAAATCTGGAACTTCATTACTCAAAAAGAGTCTCTGGGGACTCTATCTAATACCTTATCAATTGAACACTGAAGTACCAGACTTCGATTCTTATTTTTAACCCAGTAGCAAAAAAGCAACAAAACCTTGATATTCATCTTTCTAGCATCAAAAACCATTTGAGCCAAATGGCACTTGAAGGTAACGGCTGCTCACAAGCTCACTCCACCAGGAACACCACCTAAGGGCCTATGGCTGGGTCTCTGTGGCCCTGCTGCCGGGGACACCCAGCTCCCAGGGGCTCAGCTCATCCTCTGAGATCTGCCGTTGTCACAACGTGCAGTGGGAGGGCTTGTGTTCTTCTGACGCGTTCTTTGGTCAATTCACTTATTGCCTCAAAATTATAATTTGTCCAGAAAAGATAAAGGTTTTTACTTTTTGAGGGATGGGTAAGAAATCTTAAATTGTTTATTTTTCAAAAGTGAGTGAATCCATTCACACATGATTCTTCTCCTTCCTTACTGTAAATGAGGAGCATTGGGCTGAGATGATCCAGGAAAGCCTTTCTCACTCTAAAGGTCAATAATGCTATTTGCAATGAAGACTTTCTGATAATTGTGTTCAATCCTGAAGCAATATATGATTTACACATGGGGCATATGCTGAAAAGAAGCATAAAGATTAAACTTCAGTCAAGTGGCCTTTTCTGTATATTCACTCATTGTACAAATATTTCTTGAGTTCCCACTTTGGATCAGGCCCCATGCTCTGCTGAAGTTAAAGTGATGAGCAAAAGAGATACATTTTCTGTTCTACTTAGTAACTCTTACCTGGTTAACTGTGGTTTAAACAAAAAGTATTTACTCAAATCCTACTAAAATATATTCTCTCCTTTAGAAAAATAGCACATAAAAAGTGATCAAGACTCTCATTGCCTCAAGTACTTTGCTCTGAGTTCCAGTTCTTATTGAAGAGGTGACAATGTCAAAGGCATTAGATAGAGAACTGGAACTACATTGGCCTTGGGATATACCATAGATGTATTGGAGGAATCCAACCAAGTAAACCAAGTTGTTACCAGGAAAAGATGTCAAAAAGTGACCTCATTGCACAAAATAGCCGTTTATCAAAGTAATGGAGAAAAATGGCCCTGGAATTGGCTCAAGGATATCTCTAACTGTCTCTAGCACATACCTCGAATTTCATGATATCCCCTTCCCTTCGCCAGCATCTTCAGTTTTGCCATATGAAAGCAAAATTCAGTGTTCTGTCAAACACAATGTGAATCTCAGACAATTAGCAAACCGAGTGACCTTCCCCTACCATTTACAAATTAATCAAAAAAGTTTAAGTCATGATTGACCTCTTAGACCCTTACTGCACCACAAAGGGAAGCCAATAATCCTTCCTCGGGGCACAGTTAGAAAGCAGAA